CTGCCTCAAAGGGCTCACAGTCTCCATAGACATGAGAGGCAAACCACCGGTGGAAAAGGATTATTGTGTTACGGATGGGGAACAGAGGCATGGCATGATTAAGTGACTTGCCCAAGGAAATCTGTGGCAGAGCTGGGAATTGTACTCAGATCTCCTGACTTCCAGTTCATGCCCTGGACCACAAGGCCATTCTTCGACTTAAAGGAACACCCTGGAGCAGGCTCCAATGAGCAGGCAGCGTCAGTGGCTGAATCCCAACAGAAGCCTCACTGCGGCGATGGAAGCGGCACCAGAGAGTGATGTGTGAGAACCCTGGCAGTAGATGCTACAAGGACAGAAGGAGAATTGCCCAAATGACCCACCTGTTTAATATTTCGGTCAGCCGCTGCGATGCCTCCAAAACTCGCCTCCGACGCTTAAAAACAAACAGGGGTGCGATGGGGGTCAGAATTGCTCTAATACACGTCTGGCGACATAGCAAGGATTTCATAACTAATGCTCTTTGCCTAGCAGGGTGGCAAGGAGGTTATGTTGAGATGACTTTTTTTGCTTTATTCCAAGAATTAAAATCCATATATTAAAATACGTCACTTCCCCTGGTGGGCATTCCCCAGACCTGGCTGTTCAGGGACACGATATTTAAGGCTACATTTTCGAAATGTCTCTGTCTGTACTTGCAATAAAACAATCTGTGTGCACCTGATGGGTCCTTTGGTACAAGTATGAATGAGGCTGGGCTCTCAAACACCGTATGTTCCTCAAGAAGGCCGTCTGGCTAATTCTGAAGAACCAGGTTTTCCGAACTACCATATACAAAAAAAAGCTAATTTAAAGAGTGCTACCCTCTCCTAGCTCGTCTTGATCTCAGTGTTCTATCCACACAAGTAAGAAAAACGAATCATGTAAATTTGATGCTGGATATAATCTATATGGTCCCTCTGGGGCTGGTGCGGTCACATTCTGCGGGAGTTTACACTGAAGCGGGAGCACCTGCGACAATCTGGTCAATTGTCTTGGTAGCTGAAACGGCCAAGAGCCTTTCTGCCACTGAGGTGAAAGTGACCAATGAAACCTTGGATCACCAGTGATGGACAGAGACTGGCCATCCAGCCAGACCGTCTTAAAGACCTAGCTAGAGATCGATTTGCATGGCGCTCGTTCTGCATGGAGACCACGCCCCTTAAGGATCTGCTTTGTTGATGGTAAGCGATACGGAGCCATGCCTGGAAACCAAACGTTTCATACGGGAAAGGAGGGAGAAGGGTTAGTCCAACAGAACAGACTCAAAGGGAAGTGGGGGAAGCCATCTCACACATTATTTGATTCATGTTAAGTGGGCAAAGCACTTAAGAACATGATACAGGGAATAAATTTACTAGGGGTGACATTTTCAAAAGCATTTAAGCAACTAAATCCCATTTTGAAAAGTGACTTAGGAATTTAGGAGACTAATTTTCACTGAAAGCCAAAAGGACTTTGGCTCTAAGTCACTTACATTCTTTTGGAAATGTTATCCCAGTCTTTTTCCATCTCTAACTTCTACCCTCAAATGGGAAGCAAGCAGCAGATCAGAAAAATGCAGCTGCTGGCGATACTTCAGAACATCTGGAACCTTGATTTTCAGGTGTGTCTGCTAATTCTGGGTACCCAGCTTGTCACGCCAATAGCTTAATTCTTTCACAGGTTCTACAAACTACAGTCAGAACTGCAGGAGCTTAAGCTGTATCGAAACTAAAGAACGAGGCTCCCAGAATTAACAAACACTTGAGAATTCAGGTCGTTGATGCCTGACCCTAGAAATATCAATTGCTAGCTGAGAGGAAGAGCTAGAAATAGGAATTGGGTACCATACCTCTTCAGACACTTGCTCCTTCAGGTAGGAAAAAGGAACCCCCAGTAAATGAAGTGGTCTTTGTGCGTTCCAGCCCAGAGAGTCGGGGAGCTGTAAAGATCAGAGACTGCACTAGTATTTACAAAGCACAGGTTCATATTTCACCCTTAGCAAGAGACTCTAGAGTACTCAGCTTCCAACACTACGTTGGAGGCCACAAAACAAACCTACCCAACCCGGTCTCCAGTTGCCAGATCTTACCTCCACTCCAATTCTGGAGTGATCTTCCTTCAGAACCATGAAGACTCTGGTGCCATCAGCAGAAGTCACATTGACATAGTCCTCCAGGATGGGCGGGCGCTTGAGAACCCGTTTCGGGTCCTTTTCAGGGGGTGGCGTCATGCGCAGTGGAACCATGTCGCTCACTTCCAGGCTATCTGGGCTCACAAACTTTGGACTCCTTTAACACAGGAACACAAGAGAAAGTGCCCATGAAATCACATTCCCAGCAGGCTAAACTCAATGTACCAAAACTTGCTTCAAAACCGAAACATTAGAATCTAATACACCCAAAATCAGATTTCATGGGCCAAAGTCACCAGAAAATGGCAACAAATACAAGCAGGAAAATGCTGTGCAAACTCCCCCCAACCAAGCTCTGTCATCCACACAAAGCCTGCCAGGCAGCATTCCCAACTATTCTAGTACTGGGCGCCCTCCACACAGCTCTGCCAATGTACCTACATGCTGGTCTGCAGCACTTTGTAGTCTAGTCACCTGCAGTTTCTGTCCTGATATTACAGTCCCCTCCATACACCACTCTGCTGACCCTCAAACGTGACTCCCCAGTCCTTCTCTTCCCTCCCTGTCAAAGCCCCTGAACCTGACCTCTGCTCCTGACATGCCCAAGAAAGGCACTCAAATATCACTGCAATGAGTATGGTATAAAGGTTTAGATAGTGAGGGGTCTCTCCTGAGCAGAAACTGCCTGTGCTGTTAGTTCTGTGAAGTGGACACAAAAAGAGACTAGGATAAAGCCACCCACATAGTTTTCCCTTGTAACCTAAATGGACATCTGACCCCAAGCTTCCAAAGACCTTTAATTTACTGCATAAGTTTAGCTCCAAGATTTAAAATTACTGACTGTCAAGGGCCTTCCTCACAACAATGACAAAATAATGAGAAAGGGATTCAAACCCTGTTAACCTGGCACTCTGCGGTTTGGAGCAGTCCCCGGGAGAAGGAGGCGGGGTAATGTCATCCTGGGGGAAATCAGGAGAGGCCAATTTGTCCTCCACACCAAAATTCAGCTTCTTAACGGCTTCAAGTCTTCGTCGCTTTGGCTTAGGAGCTGTTCGACACAAAGGGAAGTGGGGGAGGGAATGTCGATCAAAGCAGGGTATTTACAGATTGCTAATACAACTCCTTTCATCCAAGGATCTCAATGCACTTTATAAGCATTAGTGAACAGAGCTTCATATCCCCTTGTATCCCCTTTTAACAGACAGGCAACTGAGGCACAGTAAGGCAAACTGACTTGCCCAAAGAGTCAACAAGATTGACAGGAACGGAAGCCGGAAGCCCAAGTTTCCAAGATCGTCCTGCTAGGACACACACTAATGTTTCCTGAATTAGAGAGATTCCATACAGTAAACTTTTCAGTGAAATGGCCTGCCCAGTGCCCACCTTTGGGACACTCTGAGAAATGAACATCAGTTGCCTCAAAGAGGAACATGGGCTTGGGAGGCGGGTGGCAGGCGTCCGCTTTACCCTCTAGATTAGAACAAACATGACAAACTGGCCAATCCAGCATCACGCCAATAGCCTGAGCTGCAAAGGGGATCAGCACCTAAGAAGAGCATTTAAGGTACAGCACCAAGTGGAGGCAAAGGGAGGCACAAAAGGGCCTTGGCCTACATGTAACCAAAGAGCATTTCCAAAACATACTGAGCACAGCAGGAGGCTGGTGAGGGGGCAAGCTCTCCGAACACTCCTCCTCCTCGGATTCATGCAGAATACACTCTAGATGCCGCTTCTTAGGGTTAGCCTCTCCAGTGCTCTCCACGGCATTTGTCTGGTGTTGAGAGTCCTTTTCCTGGCCTGGCTGGCACTTTAGAGCGGCAGAGTCCTTAACCACATCCCCGGCTGTTATAGCTTCTTCAAATGTCTGCTTTCTGCTTCGGAGCTGGGACACTTTGGGGGCCGATGGCTGAGATGGGACATCTGAAAAAGATATTTTTTTTAAATGACAGCGATACGATGTGACCCCATCTGCATGGGGGGAGCGGCCATGAATAAGCCTGATTTTAGCAGAGGAGATGCCAAGCCAGACTGCAACACCAGCCAGCCAGCAGGCATAGCACTAAACCCGTCCTGTAGCCAGCTGAGCTTGAACAGGTTTCTTTTAAAATCCAACTGGGTTCCATCGACATTTGCTGGTCAAGCCACGTTCCAGGTCAGTCCAGCTCCAAGCAACTTTAAACCTGGTTGCTTGCCCCAGGGAGATGGAACCTCAGGATTGGCGATTGTATGACGAAATGGACCACGCGCATGATTCGCACGTAAAACCCTCGGATAAGATTCATTGTCCCTCAAGTTTAACGCCTGCAGGGAGCGTAGTCAACATCCAAGACCAACACGATGTACAAGGACATTAGGTAACCGCCACAACACGAGAAACCCCTTCCTGGGGCAAGTGGTTGATGGATCAAGGCTGAAGCGCCTGATACACTGGGCAGCCCCGGCTTTGCCATCCTGAACTCAGCTCTGCCAGAGACCAGAGGGGGGGGGAGATTTCCCTCCCCCCCGTGCAAGCATGATTGCAACACACTACAAACAAACCAACAGCTGCTTTTGGACACACACAGCGCCCCCCACCTTCCAGCTCTGCCAGCACCTCCAGCTCGTCTGCAAACTGCTGATCGAACTCATCTTCAACGCCATACAGCTCCGGCTCCTCCATGAGCCCGGCCCCGAGCTCCGCTCCCCTCCCGGGGCCCTGCACCCCACGCACCAGCCTTGCACCGCCGCCGGCCCGGGCTGCCCTTGCAACTGGAAGCCGGGCGCGCGCGCGCGCCGCGCAGGCCCTTCCGGGTAACGTTCCATCCCGCCGCCTCGCCAGCCGCTGATTGGCTGCCTCGCCCTTCACGCGCCGCGGCCCTGTCTCGTGTGGCTCCCGGCTGGAAACAATGTAGCCGCGGCGCCTTTCCGCCAGCCCCGGGCGCAGGGCAGCGGCAGCTGCAGGTCGGTGGCGCCCGGTGCATTTCGGGGGTGGGGGCTGGAGGCAGGGGAACCCCCCGGGCCAGCGCGAAAAGGGGGGGAGGGGGTTGCATGAATTCCCTCACTTCTGTCCCGTGCAGGGACCGTCCCCCCTTTGCTTGCGCGGTTCTTGCAGCTGGCGCTGTTGTCTCAAGAAGAAGTTAATAATAATAATGGAGATATCCATCTCCTAGAACTGGAAGGGACCTTGAAAGGTCATGGAGTCCAGCCCCCTGCCTTCACTAGCAGGACCAAGTACTGATTTGGCCCCAGATCCCCAAGTGGTCCCCTCAAGGATTGAACTCACAACCCTGGGTTTAGCAGGCCAATGCTCAAACCACTGAGCTATCCCACCCCCCAAGTTGCTCCGAAGTCCGGCTCGGGGCGGGAGGAGGACGCGCTGACTAGGCTAAGGGCTGCCGCTGGCACGTTCATCATCATCCATGAATAACCACCCCTCGCTGGCGCTTCTGCCGTGGGGAGGGGTCAGTGACAAGAAGCGGTGGATGAAGGGGGTTGTTACCTGGGGGCCACAACGGGATGTGGGTACCAACAACAGCTGGGGCCTGCGTCCTTCTTTTCTCCTGCTGTACATCGTTGGATGCTGCCTGCTACCAAAGCAAGCCTGGTTTTTGACAGGCGCTCAGACTATAATAATAATGGAGATATCCATCTCCTAGAACTGGAATAGACCTTGAAAGGTCATCAAGTCCAGCCCCCTGCTTTCACTAGCAGGACCAAGTACTGATTTTTGGCCCAGATCCCTAAATGGCCCCCTCAAGGATTGAACTCACAACCCTGGGTTTAGCAGGCCAATGCTCAAACCACTGAGCTATCCCTCCCCCCAGGAGAAGATACTGTATAGGGGACAGTCTTGTATTGTGCCCTGGAGGTGATGGCTGGGTTAGCGGGTGGAATCTTTTCCATCGTCAGTCATTCAGCCTGAACAGCAGGGGATTTAAAAAAGTCAATATGTGATGCACAACGTGTGTTGCGTTCCCATTGCACTGGTTTCTGACGTTAAATGCACGCTGTCCAATTTAAAATCATCTATTCTAAATAAACCATTCGTTGCCTATATTACTGCCAACACTGATTCAGGTGCCAGCAATTCCTTTCTGTAGTACAAAGACACAGCCTTAGGTTATAATTGAATGGATTTTAAAACCTTTCACTCTGGATGGGTTTTGTTTACATTTTGCATTGCTCACAACTTGATCAATGAAGTGACGTTCACTTTTGTTTTTAGGGCTGCAGTTTTTCAGTTTCAGCCAATACAGGGATATAAATAGATCGGCACATATATATTTCTGAATGACTTTTTCCCATGGATTATACATTTTTTAATAGCACAGTAACATTTCTGTTGGGTTATGTAGAAGCTTTGCTTTACATCATCTAAATTTTGGGCCTAGTCTGAGTTGGCAGCATCCTTTCAATCATGGCGAGTGGAAAAGCCTGTCTGAAGTTCATCTGCCCCCCAGAGTGTGTTCGTTGTCAATCCCACGTCAGATGGGTGCACTCATTATTATAAATTTTTGTATTGTGGTAGCATCTAGGAGCCCCAGCCAAGGACGAGGACCCCATTGTGCTAGGCGCTGTACAACCGCATTGTGACTCCCAAATGTTGCATAGAGAGTAGAAGTGAGAGGGTTCACTGCCCTTTGTACACAGCTGGAAGTGGGGAATCCATTAACATCACCACATCGCTGTACATCCCACAACAGGCGGGTGCACTCACTATTATTAATTACCCGTGTTGCGATAGTGCCCCAATCAGGGTCCCATTGTGATTGTTGCTGTATTAACACAAGGAGCTTGCTGTCTTTCTATGAGAAGACACATCAGGTGGGTGTAACAAACAATCGAAGAGGGTGGACGAAGGGAGGTGTGGAGCTTCTGCACCGCATCCCAGCAGTCCAGTGTATGTTTGATCAATTCTGATGCTTTGTTTTGTTTTGTTTTTAAGGATTTTATAAACGAAAGAGCACACTCCCGAGGTGGAGCGCTTACTTCCCTTCAAAGGGCCATGGAGCCGGGCAGCATTGATAACTTGTCCATCCTGTACCAGAGCTCTGACTTCATTGTGGTCAACAAGCACTGGGATGTTCGCATCGACAGCAAGATGTGGTATGAGAAGCTGACCCTGCAGAGCCAGCTGAAGTACCGTTTCCCAGAGCTGGCTGACCCAGACACGTATTATGGCTTCAGGTAAGTGAGCACGGAAGGGCAACGTTCATCTCAGCTCGACAGAGATGTTATCCCAGTGCACGTCCTCGCCGAGACAGCTGCGATATTCCAGGAACATGCAGCTTGCAAGACTGGGACCTAGAGAGCCAGGGATGAAACGTTCACAGGCCAGGGCAGTTGACTTTGAAATGAGCTATCAGAGCAGATTCGTCTGAACCAAAACCTGGCCAACTTCAGGACATGCTCCAAGATGCGACCGTGTCCCACTGTAACGGGAGCCAAGAAAGCAAGGAGCATGGGGAAGAGGGAGAAGGTAAAGCTAGAATCGCTCCTGAAACCTGGGACCGGCAAAGAGCAGAATCCATCGCACACAGACAGTGCTTGGAGGATCTAAATTATCCACTGGAGCCCAGATCCTCAATGGTATTTAGGCGCCTAACTCCCACTGAAATCATTAGAAGTTACGCGCCTTTGAGGATAAAGGCCTAAGTACTGAGATCCCGACTGCAAACTGCTCCAGGTTGGCTGACTGCTGGGCCATTCGGAATCCCCTTGACTTTAGCGGGGCTCCGTCTCAGTGGAAAGCCTCCATTCTCTGAGCAGTTTGCCCTAGATACACCTCTACCTCGATATAACGCTGTCCTCGTGAGCCAAAAAAATCTTACCGCGTTATAGGTGAAACCGCGTTATATCGAACTTGCTTTGATCCGCTGGAGTGCGCAGCCTCTCCCCTCCCGCCCGGAGCGCTGCTTTATCGCGTTATATCCGAATTCGTGTTATATCGGGTCGCGTTATATCGGGGTAGAGGTGTACTGCGATAATGGGCACTACAGAAAAACCGAACCGAGAATAAAAGCACTTACAATTACTTTAGATAAATAAACTACAAGACGTCCCATTGAAATGGTGCTCTACCAGCAACGGGGATTATCTGTAACTATTTCGGTAAAAGCAAATTCAAGTTGCCAGTGTCCCTTTAAGAATGGGTTGTCTTGAGAGTATGCTGAGCACTTACATAAGGCTTTGCATCTTCAGAGCTGGGCAGATCTGGACTACAAGCTCTTGGTGTGGGCCTGAGCTTGGGCCAAGATCCAGCATGTACTTAGATGTACCCGAGCACCATAGGTTGGCCTTTTAGGGTGGGATTTTCAAAGTAGCCTATGGGAGTTAGGCACCCAAAACTCAGTGTCCCGCATTTAAACCATTATGCCAGACTCCTGCTGTATGGGTGAAAGAGCCAGCTGTGGCTTTTCAGAATCCCAAGGAGGGCATTTCTGACCCTCCCTTGCACTATCTATCTCTCCTAGGTTTTGCCATCAGCTAGACTTTTCCACCAGTGGGGCCCTCTGCGTTGCTCTCAATAAAGCGGCTGCCGGTAGCGCGTACAAGTGTTTTAAGGAACGGATGGTGACCAAGGCCTACCTCGCTCTGGTAAGCGTAGCCCCCTCTGCATGGGCTCTGTCATGGTCCATGTCCTCTCGGCCACCATTCATTGCATCCTGCCCTTTTAATGGCAGTGTTACTCTCCAAGGCGTATAAACCAGTGGTGTGTCCTCAGCCATTTTTGGTGAAGGTTGGGATTCTGAAGGCACATCTGGCTCACAGCTGTTCAGCAGCAGCACCGGTGATGAGGCGCTAGAACTAAACCATAAGGCTCGGCTAACACCTGAGAGTAAGATCGGGGACTGACTTAATTTTTAAACATTCTAATCCCCCCCCTTCCTATTCGCTCCAGGTTTCAGGGCCCACACTGCTTTCTCTGACCCTTCCTTCTAGGGGCTGTGGAATCTCCCCAGCAAGAGCAGCATTTCCGGACGAAGGGTCTCAGAAAGGAAAAACCGATGCAGAGGTTGAGCCTAGCTCCGTACTTGCCAATCAGAGTCTGACCAGGCTACGTGTTTCATGTCTTGAGTTAATGGAACTTTTTGTCTCTGCAGCTGTTTGCGCTGTACAGGTCAGCGCGTGTTTATTGGAGAACGGGGCTAGTTGTTACAATGGGCCTGTCCTTTCCTTCGATTTTGGCCCTGGATCCTCGGCCCACGGACTGTCCTCGCCCCTCCGTCTCTCTTAACATGGTGATTACTGCTGCCGCCATGACGAGAACAGAGGAACACCTCTCCCCGCCTTCACCCCTGCTATCCAGCTATGCATCTAACAACGTCAGGTTTACATCCCTGAGCATGCTCAGAGCAATGCCTGTCGCACACAAAGGGGGAGTGTTCTCAGAACCTGACCAGCATCAGCCCAAAAAGACAGGCACACAGTGGTGCTTGGGGCTGCCCACGATCAGCTTTTTTCTAGGCTGTGGATCATGATGGTTTCCCTGGGACCTGTCTGCATTAATCTCCTGACCCCAGGGCCAATTGTGCCCAGGAGATATATAATCAGATTTAGTTTTGGGAGAGTTTTTTTTAGTCTGTCACTGATCATGTCACTAGGGCTCTTCCTTGGGTGTGCCAAGTCTCTGCCCCTGGAGGATCCCAGACCTTGCTGTTGAATGCCTAGTATTCTGCCCTTTGCAGAGCAATTTGCGTAGCGTGGTCAGATAAAATCCCTGCTGGCTTTTGGTTGAGGTGCAATTGCCAGCAGGCAGGCCATTATTTCTTGTTGTACAACGTTCACGTTGACCCTCCTAGTGTGAATTTTCCAAGCACGCACTGTGGCACCAGCTCTCTAGGCGGCAAGGGACCATGAGCTGTGCCCTTTTTCTGTATTGTGTGTTTCTACATAAGTGGAGGCACATGATGCTGGTCCTGAACAGGGCTTTCCCTGAGGAGATGTGGCGCTGGCAGGGTCGTGACGGTTTCCTGTTGAAACCAACCAATTCTTGGTACTTGGGGCCAATGGCAGACAGTACGATCTGAGAGCAGGTGTTGTGCCAGCCAAACAGATGGGCAGGAGACTAGCCAGAGTTTGTGCATATGCAAAGTGCGTGTTTGTTGCAGCAATGCCCGGGGCTTGTATTGGGAAGTGCCAGGTTATAAAGCTGCAGGTGGCTGTTCCATTTCATCCCCAGAAGAACGGGATGGAGTGATCTACAGGGGTTGATTGTCAGTCTAATATAACTTCCATGCCCCTTGGACATCCTCTCTGGAAGGCACAGACATCTATTCCACAGCTTCCCATGGGCTTCTGCCACCAACAGGCTGAAGAAGATTAATAGATTCATAGGTTTGCAGGGTTTTTAAAGGCCAGAATGGCCATATACAATCACCTTGTCTGACCTCCTGCACAACTGCTGGCCAGAGAACCTCACCCAGTAATGTTGCATGGGACTCATATGTCCTGGTAATGAGATTAGAGCTAGCTCACGGAGGAGCCGTCTTAAAACATGCCCCACGTTGAGCATGTAAAATCCAGCATTGCCCAGGAGAGTAGGTGGTTAGAGGATTTGCAATGGGACCTAGATCCTTTCCTCCCTAGTCCAACAATTTCAGTCCAGCCCATCTTGGTAGTAACTGCCAAGTGATTACCGTCTGACAACTGTGGTCTCACCAGTGGGTCTCAATAGAGTAAACCACTCCGTCAGCAGTCCCCGTGGTGGTACTCTGACCAGGCAAGCGAAGGATCAAATGGACTGGAGTCTGATCACCAATAGAAGTGATCTGTGCCAGCCGTTGGTGAGATGATGTTATCTGCACTGGCAATGTGCATGCTGTACCGTTCCTGCATATGGAGAAGAGTGCCTTCCAGGTCTGTCAATCCGTCCCCTTTCACTGGCACCAAATAAGGAAAATCCCTGTAGTATTGTGAGGGTCTGGACTTGCAGGTAATTGGCTTTAAAGGTAACCCAGGAGTGAAGGTTTCACGCATTAGTCAAGGAGTTTGGTAGTTCCATTGTTCCTACCTAGCTTAATTCACCGAACAATAGGTAAAGCCCGATTGTACTGTTTGCTTCATATCTGAGGAGATTTAAGTACTTCCCTTCATGTGCAGCTCTACAGTAAAACCTGTGGCATGATTAAATCAGCGTTGAAAATCAGTCGGTATAAATATGCCAGTCATCTTTGATGTACGAGCTGACATAAGTCTGCAGAGATCAGAACAATTTGGTTCTGAAGCAATCTTGAGTGAAGGCAGCCGGGTTGGGGTGGGGGGAATACGCCAAGATTGTTGAATTCCTTAAATACAAGGATTCCTTCGTCTTAGTAGCTGAGGATAACCGTGTGTGATTTCCTGTGCTCGTGGGTGTTATTCTCTTTTGAACTTCGGTTTTCATGAAATGTTTCTAATCTCTGCTTTTTAATGACAACGGCGAGCACACTTGAAAAAAGATGGTAATTAGTGCTTATATCCTGACTCACCAAAGCATTTAAGCACGTGTCTAACTTTGAAGTCAATGTGATTTAACCATATGCTTAAAATATGAATAGAGAGTAGGGAGACAGGAGTGAAAGAAATGCCATAGAGAGATCAGCTCCAGTGCTCCTGTGTAATTATAGTGTATGCAATGTCCCTTTTTCATAGCTGAGCAAGAAAATCCTTTCCCTCTATTGGCTGTTGTTAGCCCCAGATGTTTCAGAGACACCCGTTGTGTGAATAGGGTTTTGTGTTTATAGATCTGAGCTGAGGGGAATCATCTGCCTAGCAATCTGGCCGAGTTATTAATTCAGAGCCAATTGCAGACAAACGGCTTATTATCAGTGACATTTGGATGGTGTCGCAGGAGAAAACGAACATGCGTTGAGTAAATGTCACTTGGCATCGCTTCTGAGACAGAATCAATTTGTCCAGCAGAACTGAGGGATGTCAAACCATTTCCTCACAGAGGCATCTTAGGAAGTGCTATTGGTGTTTCTGGAGATAATTATTGATACCCACTGTTAATGTTGCAGGTGTTAAAAGTCTCGATGATAACCCACCCAAGATTTTATATATACTGTATATATGTGAGTGTGTCTATACGTGGCTATATTAGTACTGCTTTCAGAGTGGGTATTCTTTGTGCGAATCATGTATCTGAACTGTATTTTCTGTGTCGTATTAACAGACGGATGCTGCAGCCACTGACATTTAGAATCGGGTACTCAGGTTCTGATTCTGAAAGTGCCAGCACACGGTAGATTCATTGGAGACCAATGGGCTCTACAGAGATGCAGTGGTCTGCGTGCACACTGTCAGTTCCAGGATCGAAACCTTAGATCAGAAGCTCTTTGGGGCTGGGACTTTGCCTTCTTCTGTGTGAGCGTGATTTTTGTGTCGACTTTCCGTTTTCTTGGGGGAACAGTTGTGCCCAGAGTTGATGGCCCAGAAGAGGGTCCAAGTTTGTTAAATTGCAATTTATTACTGGGTTTTGTTTTTTTTCAGTGACCTGGAATTGTTCTGATCTGAGTTTCAGGGGTTGGTTTGTCCCGTTAACTAACTAACTAACTAACTTCTGTGCTGCAGGTCAGGGGCCACGTGAGCGAAAGCAGAATGACGATCCGTTATGCCATAGGGAAGAACACGACAGAAGGCATGACCCACATGATGTGTATTGAAGGGACAGAAGGTAAGCCTGCTCATAGATCAGACCTTTCCTTGCACCGTTCTCATGATTGTTTGTCTCACGAGACGGGCAGCTATGATGGATATGGCTGAAATCCTATTTCCCATCTTTTTTTTAGGCTGTGAAAATCCAAAGCCTTGCCAGTCAGAGCTAAGCGTCCTTGAGCATGGTTCATACAGTGGTGACCCTGTAACTAAAGTGCTTCTACAGCCACTGACGGGTAAGTGCTGGAGGGCTGAGGCAACCCCAGCATGGCACTGTTTCTTATGTTGGGGGAGCCAGGCCATAGGGCCTTGAGTAGGGTGCAGAGCTTTTCTGCTGACTCACCCTGACAGTGGTGCTGGGTGGGTCTCATCAGCTAAAATATTGAGAGTCTCTCTGAGGCAAGAGAGCTAGAGGGAAGGAGCAGGATGTCCTGCAGGGAGAAACCCCAGTCATCTGGCATTTGCAGTCCTGGGCCTTTTCTCCACTGTTGTGATTTGGTTCTGCACTGTGGACCAGAAGCATTTAGGGGCTAGGATGAAATGAAAGTCAAACTCATTGTCAGTCATGACCTAAATTGGGTCTTGAGCCCGGGTCTCCAAAGGTCAAAAAGTATGATGCATTCTCTCCCAACAGCACGGGCGTCAAGAGCCAGGGATTCAGTGTCAGTGTTTGAACTCTGTGCCCTTTACGCTTTCATTCCCATGTTCCATTTAGGCCGGACGCACCAGCTCCGGGTTCACTGCAGTGCTGCTGGACACCCCATAGTGGGAGACTTCACGTACAGCTTTAAGAAGGACAGTAACCCGTACAGAATGATGCTCCATGCTTACTACCTGCGGATCCCTACCAGGAAGGAACTGATTGAGGTGAGTGCCCCTGACCCCTTTCTGACCTCTCTGGATAGCAACTGGGTCCCTCACCATGTTGTGCAGCAGCTGGATGAGATGATCCAGGAACTGAAGGACAAGACTATCCGGGCAGAGGAAGAGGAGAGGAACCAGGAAGCATTGCTTAGTAGTGGAGGAGAGGAGATGCCGAGCAAAACCAAGACCCTGGAGAGAGAGGAAGAACGAACCAAGTGTGAGCAGTGGTTGGCGGAGTGGGCCTTGGCATGAGATGCTGCTGTTGCTGTGCATTTCAAACCCAATATTCCATTTGCTCACTGTGGGACATGACAGACAACCCCCCTTCCCCCGCCCAGGACCCAACGCCGCCTCCGCGTCAGCACTTTTTTATGCCGAGCTATCTTAGAATGAATCCTCCAAGGGTTCATTTCCGGGTCTGAAATTTGACTTATTTTAGCATCAAGTAGGATTTTGTTTTTCATGAGTCAAGCTCCACCCCACCACTGGATGCACTTTTCCTTGTTCTGCAACTCAGCTGTGGGATTTGAATGTCATGCACCCCATCAGAAATGAGGCAGAAGCCCCGGTGGACTGCACCTTTGTATTAGCGCTAAGCTGCTGGGTGGGCGTCAGCAGAGCTGATCCATGTATGACGCTCCTGCAGAGAATGGTGGAGCTCCTTTCAAACCTGGAGTACTAAAACATTGCCAAGATACAATCAATTTAAAGGGAATCAGTAATGGAGGAGAGAAGGTGGGGCCCTTAAGCCTTTCTGGGTGGAATCTTTGGATCTGCTTTCACTTCCCCATTCCCGCCTACTGCGTGATCATGTCCACTCACTGAGTCCTATTAGCTATTGCTGTCTTCCTGTGCAGGGCATGAAGAAATATCCTGCAGCATTTTGCATTGCTCCGACTGAAAGGATGAGAGTCATGCCAACCAGCCATGTGCTTTGCCAATAAATCCCAATGTGGGTAATCCCCAGTTAAAACAGAGCTGCTGGGAGGGTCCTTTAATTGGAGTGTAGGACTCACTACCTTTCCCAAGTCTGCATTTAGACCATTTATATTTTTAAAAGGTTTTAAATTGATGACTACTAATGAATTTTAAACTTTCTAAGGAAATTTGACACGGGATACAGTCCTTTAGCAGTTCTGCAGTGCTGTCGGTCTCAGAGGTTTGTAACATCACACTTCTAGTACATTGGCACCAGTAGCAGATTAAAAATATCCAACACCCCAAAACTTTTTCCTACAGGTGGTGAGATTTTATTACACCCTTTACTTATATGCTCCTTTTCTAAGAGCCTCCTCTTGCCTGGAGATGCACATGTCACTCCTGCTATGACTAAAAATGGGCATTCCAGGCAATTCTCAGCAGGAGAACACAACTCTAAATAAATTCATGAGACTCACCTTGTTCTCCTATCAGAGTAGCAGCCGTGTTAGTCTGTATCCGCAAAAAGAACAGGAGTACTTGTGGCACCTTAGAGACTAATAAATTTGTTTGGCCTGGTCTAAACTACGACTTTAATTCGGATTTAGCTGCGTTAATCCGAATTAACCCTTCACCCGTCCACACTACAGAGCCAGTTAATTCGAATTAAAGGGCACTTAAAATCAATTTCTGTACTCCACCTCGACGAGCGGAGTAGCGCCTAAATCGATTTTGTTAATTCGAATTAGGGTTAGTGTGGCCGCACACCACCGAATTACTGTGGTTAAATTAATGGGGTAGTGTGGCCGCACACCACCGAATTAATGTGGTTAAAAACAGAATTAATGTGCTTAGTGTGGCCGCGCACAATCGAATTTATACAACCTGTTTCCCAAATTCGAATTATCTAAATTCAGATTAATCCCGTAGTGTAGACATACCCTTAGTCTCTAAGGTGCCACAAGTACTCCTGTTCTTGTTCTCCTAATGCCTGTGACAGGGCACTGCCTGGCTTTCACCAGTAGATGGTGCCATAGGCAGTCTCAGGCATCACAGACCATTTGTTTAAATTGTCTTAGGACTTCAGCAGTGAGACTAGAGGAAAAACACACACAACTAAAGGAATGTTAAAGGGCTGGTGCACACAAACCATAGCAAGGAAGGCTGGGACTCAGTGTCCCTGTTTTAGGAGAGTCAAGAGTTGAAGGGAAGCTTTAAACGAGAATTTCCTTGCTTTGCAAATCTCATTCAAACCTTCATTGTTGCTGTACTTACCATTTTTGTGTTTTAATTTTCTCCTTCGGCTTTTAACAGTAGTTTTAAAATAATGGACTAAAACTGTAATGGAATTCTGTGAGACAATCATAGATTATTGGGACAATAAACCATGATAGCCCATTCAGATCTATTGTGACCTGTGTATCTTAGCTATTTATATCACATCAGTCACCTTAGTATCTAAGCACTGAGCTGTCATATCAGTGCATGCCTTTAGGGTCCCTTAATCCCCAGCCTATTGTGCATCTGACAGTGCACACTGTTTCAGTGTTGTTATAGCCGTGCCGATCCTAGGATATTAGAGAGGCAAAGGGGGTGAGGGAATATCTTTTATTGGACCAACTTCCGAAAGAGACAAGCTTTTGAGCTTCTACAGAGCTTTTCTCAAGGTCAGAGTAAAAGATAGTACCTCAGCCACCTTGTCTGTTCCCCCAGATGACAAATATATCTACTGGGAGATGAAAAGAACTTCGCCGCTCTCCCCGGGACATGGAAACATAAACATTCTGCAGGGTCACTTAAATCATGCTTGGGTTTTGCCCCTCAGAATGGGTCTCGTCACCTATTTCCATGGACGCCATTTGCTACGTCCTCAGTATAGTCTCAGCTGCCAATGTAATGCATGGAGGCTCGCTTGTTTCCGGCACTGTAGCTGGTATGTTCTCCTTCTGGAGCATGTGTAGCTCAGACTGACACACCCAGCGGGAGGAGGGTTTGTGTCTTATAGAATTACCTCTCATTGCACCAGTGGATGCATGTATGTGTCTGCAGCTTCCAGAAACTATGGAATTGCCATGAAATGGGTCTTTGAAATAACAGTTCATCATCAGAGCTTTTGATGCATGATTAGGAGAATCTTCCTGTTTGGCACTTTATTGCTTGATGTTTTGTGCGTGTGTCGCAGGCAGTTAGGGCCAGATAATACCTGGTGGGTCATTATTTTTCATGGCTCTTCCCAACACTATTCCCACTCATATCCGAAGCAGTGATCAGCTGGTCGATGAATGTGAATTGACCCTGAGGGACATTCATTAGGAGCAAAGTGTTCAGCAAATTTTAGTAGCTACAGGAAGCAGAGACTCTAGCTTGGTTTGCTTTAGTACCTGAACCTCCCCATTGAGTATCCTAGTTCAGCTGCTGGTATTTTGCCAGGCAGACAGAGCCTCATCCAGTAAAGAACATATCTCTTGCTCCAGAGACTGCTGGAGATTGTGTTAGTCAAAAGACGTGACATGCATCAGTTGGCTGAAGCAGGATCATAGGAATCATGATCTTGAGAAGCAATTCACGGAATAGCATTAGCATTGGCTCAGGGCAGTCCTGCTTATCAGCATTACTGGCTGGAGGTTACATACTGCTGCTATGCAGGCTAATGTTAGCTGCCCGTTTGGAGGTGGACAGAATATTTGTGGAAGTAGAGGATCAGGGATGAGAAGTTCTGTGGACAAAACCTCTAAGACTCTTATCAGTAATGTCTGCACCAAAGGTCCCAGTCTCACCTACCTTTGTCACACATACGCACAGTGATGGGGGAAGTGTAGGGAGTGGAGCCTGTTGGGAAGTAGCCTGATGAGATTCCTTCAACTCTAAGCCAATGATGAGCACCAGTATACTGAGTAAGTGACTTCCCTGATCAGTGTGGGAAGGTGAAATTCACTGTGGTGGAAAGATCACACACAAAGTCCTGGGCAACACTTTATGCTCTTAACACAAGGCCTGGTGCAGGGCACGTACGCTGGGGTGAATTGTACCCTGTAAGAGATTTAGAAAGTGTCTTCCAGCTGAGATATGCTCAGCATAGATCCTACCAGCTCAGCATCGGCAGGTGTGGCGTGAGCCATTTGGCTCACATTGGAGCGTGGCTGCCTGTTGGCCACGAAGATCTCAATTTGTCTTCGCTGTGATGACCCAGAACTCACGCTCTCCCACACACATACACGCAAAGAGGAAATTAAGCCATTGTACAGGCAACCTCACTGGTTAGGTGAGCGCACCCTAGTGTTTGTTCACTGGTTGACGGACGAAACTTGTCCCAAATGTTTAAAGTCTTGAAAACATTCCATCCAGGACCCTGTGGACCAAATGTTGGTGCAAAGACCACAGCATCCCCTGTCTGCTCTGCATGCCCGAGAGGGTTTAGACTTTATGTATTGCACTTTTATCCAATGTTGCAGGAATCAGAGATGAATATTTTTTTCCTGAAATTTTATGAATTGTTGATTGAGAAATATATTTTGCAGTAATGCTTTCACACTGCTTCCACCCTGGAACCCTGTTGGACAGTGTTTGCTCTTCGTGTTTATCATGTGGTAGAGATTTGACGGTTACTTTCCTTGGGTAATTTGTTAGGAGCCTTAAGTTGATCTATTTATATATTTATAATGTGGTGTGGGTAGTTTTTGTGGGAGTATTTTGTGACATTTTGTAAACCTCAGGATAATCCTTGTTTATGGTTAATGCATTTGTGGACATTCCTGTAATAAACCACTAAGTGTGCACCGTGTTTGTACCAATGGCCTGTTTAATTCATACAGACAGGGTGTTGCATGAAAAGGATGCTGCCATATTAAAAAATATATATATCCAGTGTCCTTAGCCCTTAAATTAAGGCAAAGCTTTCTGCACTGCTCCTCCCGGTATCCTGATGAGGAATTATCTCCATTCTACAAATGCTACTAGACAAGTTTCCTTTTCTTTGCTAAAGGAACGGACTCTATGGAACACCAAGAGGGTCCCGTGGGTAGGTTCAATTCCATGCTCCCACACTGGTTGCCTGTGTGAACTTGGGACAAGTCATGTTGTCGCTCTGTGACTCAGTTCCCCACCTGAGTAATAGTAGCAGTACTACCCTTCCTTACAGGGGAGTTGTGAGGATGCATTCATTAAAATTGGGAGGCCTCCAGTGATGAAGGTCAGATAAGGACCTTAGGGAGATAAACCATTCCCTCCATGATGATCTTGGAGGGAAAAGTAAGAATGAAGCATAGTTTAAAGGGGTGCTTTGTTCATTGCAGCCCAGTTACTGTCTCCATAATCTTCCCTAAAAAAACAACAAGGAGTCCGGTGGCACCTTAAAGACTAACAGATTTATTTGGGCATAAGCTTTCGTGGGTTAAAAACGAAAGCTTATGCTCAAATAAATCTGTTAGTCTTTAAGGTGCTACCGGACTCCTTGTTGTTTTTGTGGATACAGTCTAACACGGCTACCCCCTGATACTTGATAATCTTCCCTAGTTATTCTCTTACCTGTATTCATGGCCTAAATCCGACCCTCCTCCCACATCCCCTCCACACACACACTAGCTGAAACCAGATACCCCCATATCATGTACACAGAGCGAGACTTTTGACCGTCTTTGTGATTTGCCTAACCCGGTCACCTAGACTCAGGCCAGCGACAGGCGGGGAAGGAACATGCCCTCCCCAACCTGCTCTTGAGCTTCATGGGTTCTTTGGAGGTGGAGCTGGAGGGTGAGTCTAGCCCATCAAACTTCATGTTCTCCTTGTTCAGACACGAGCTCGGATGAGTCACCGTGCGTCTAGGATGCTATTTCCATGCGTCAGAGCAGAGCGTCGGCCCCTTGCTCTGAGTGAGGGGGCAGCAGGAATGTTCTCGCTCTCTGCGCACACACACACACACACACACCCATTGCATTGCATTGCATTGCATTGCCCAGGCTGCTCCTAACACTCAGAATGCCTGAAATGTGACCTCAGCAGTCCGAGCCCGACCTTGTCAGCCTTCTTGCAACAGCAGGTCCCTCCTAGTTCTCTGGCCCTCTCCACACAGGCGCTTGGCCTGCATTCGCTTGAACCAATCTAGAACTGGTTTGGCTTTGAAATTTTTCCAAATGACGTTTGATCCCGTCTACACTGATCCCATCTACACTGAGCAGCCGAAGCACGTTCAAACCAAGGTTCCTTTGAGTGCTTTAGAAACTGGTTTTGATACCAGTGGGGTTACAATAGTAAGTGACAGGAGATTCACACACACACACCCCCCCCCGCAAGTCCTTGATTAAACCCCGTGCAACCGGCTGCAGGGCCGTGTGCAGCCTAGTGACCGTGGAAGGCAGAGCAATTGTTTGCAGTATCAAGGAAGGCCAGACAAGCCAGGAGGAATGAGCACATACTGGCCAGGCTGGAATATCTTGAGTCTCCCAACGGCTCACGCCAACCTGGCAAACCTGCTATGAAAACACAGGCTTTAGTTCAGATCAGTCACTCACGGGAAATCCCACCGATAGCAGCTGCCGGTGCTAAGCTTTTG